GAGAGAGAGAGAGAGAGAGAGAGAGAGAGAGAGAGCGAAGCGAATAAAGATAAAAATATCGGCGAAGATCCGCGGCTTAATTACGCGAACGAAGTGGCACGCTAAAAACTAGAGGAACGCTATAAATAAGTTCTTGTTGGAAAGTGTACTTGCGACAAGAGAAGGAACGATCTTAACGTTCGCGGCTGGTCTTTTTGCGGGTCTGCTGGCAGGACGCGCTGGCAAAGGTCCTTCGTCTTCGAGACGGCATTAAGTTCTCTGTCCCGATTGTCCGGGATCGGAGCCGGCGCTAAAAATTGGCCGGAAAAAGACAGCTGGGTTCTCGTGACTCTGGCAATTTTCCACTGATAATAGGGTGCCGTTAATATTGGGGTGCACGTAGCCTCGGAAAATGTGTTGCTTGTCTGCCCCGCGAGGGCATCAAGCGTGCACCCATTCGTTCTATTTCGAGGATATTGATCGGCTTTCATGCCATATGAGAATATAAGGTTTCGAGGGAAAGTTAAATCGTTGCCTTACGCCTCGACCTTAATATCTTCAACCATGATCGCTATAAACTTTCACGGAGATCCGCGGCCTCATCTCTCGCGGCCTGCTCCGTCCCGTTCCCGTCTGCAACCGGACGGGCCAGCCTCTCTTTCTCCATCTCTAGCCGCGACTATAACGCTCTCCTTCTTAGTAAACATTTACCGTGGAATCGTGACGTTTCTATTAGGCCAGCGGCATCGGCGGACCAGCCTTTGTGTACTCGCTGCATGTGCAAATCGTTATTGGGACTGCTATCGCTGCGAGAGCTTTTTACTCCGGCCCCGTCCGCCGTCGTTGCGAAACTCTCGAGCACGCTTCTAACGGATTTGCGATCGAAGAAGGTTTACCGCCGTTGTGAAAACGGTACCTGCTCTCTGTAGCTTTATTTTTTTTCTTATTGCACGGTTTGTGGAATTAGAGTTCGAAGCGCGATTAGAGTGGAGCCTGGTTATCGCGCGTCGGGGATAAGCAGAGATATTATAAAATTTCGATGAACTTTCTGCAGTCTGCAGATCGTTTTGCAATTTTTATAAGTGGATCGCGGATTTTATGCATTCGTGGCGGAAATGGGGTGAAACAAAGTAGCGGAAAATATGAAAGAGACTAGCTTATCAAAATTATTCAAGAAATAAACCTGCACCCTGTGACAATTTTTATTCTGCATCAAGAACTGCAGTCTAGACATTATTGTCCGAACAAAACCGAATCAAGTTTTACTCACTTTATAAACAAATTCTCAGTTTCCACCAGAATGTACATCGTTCGGTTAAAATATAGCGAGCACCGAACAAATAATACAGTACAAATACCATCAACATATAAATAAAAATATCGTACATGCACAAAAACGAAATTTCCTTCATCGAAAACAGTCCCATCGCTTTCGATTAAGTTTACTAAAAATATTTCATTCTCGTGCAACGCTGATCGACCGCGATTCAAAAATGAATTGTCGAAATATTGCGACCAGAATTCGCGACAAATTCGAACGAAGTAATTAATTAAGTAACGTCGAGGTAATTACTCGACGATTCGCACCGCACAGTTTGTAACAAAGCAACGCGCGCCGTGAAATTAGATTATTTAATCAATCGTTATGATCCAATGTGACGCGTTACCATTGACACCGCGCTACTCGACAGCGGTTAGAGATAGCCCACCCCTAACCTCTCGCGCCGAGTGTCAATAGTCCTGGCAGAACAGTCCATTACTACTTAAACATCAATTATGGGAACGCGTGAACGATAATAAAGCCGAGCGGTTAAAATCGATAACGCTCGAATCTTCGCTTCGGCGAGCAAAGAAAAACTTAGGTCCTGCGGGCCTAATCATACAAATGGCGACCACACGGTCTCCGTATATTTAACGTAGCATCGTCGCTGACATCCCCTGCGATAAAAATGTCCACCGTCGAAAACGGGGTAGAAAGCGAAAACTACCAATTTTCTGAATCAACGTGCACAAACGTGCCCCGCGCATCTCTGCAACGTTAGCTTCAAAGGTCTAGCTCCTATAGCAAACTACAAACTGCGAAAAGAATGTTCTTAAACTCGGAGCTGGATCCACCGCCAGAAACATATGGATCCTCTCGGGCAATCGCTGATGCAACATCGCGCTAATAAAACACAGCCACATCCGATCGATCGAAAATGTCCATAAGCAAAAATCCGGAATCCTCCATGTTGCCATATTGGAGCGGTAATCTGTGACCCCCCGATCTCGGGCTTACAACCATCTCCGCCGAACTGGGTTACCCGAGGAACAATAGAGGCCCCGCAAGACCGCGATACCAGCGAAGCATACGCGGCGTGTCATTTTCTCGCGGACGGTTTGTAAATACGCGCCCGTAAATACGTGTGCGCGCGGGTCTTAATCGCGACCTTCGTCGGCTGGGGTGCACACCGAGGGGATAACCGAAAAATCAATCGAATATTTACCGTGCGGTGGGTCCCGTCGCTGGAAGATTCTCGGCGCACACCTGTTTTAAATCCCCCGTTACGTTTAATTATCCGTTTCTGCGCAACACGAACGCGCCTACACTGTCGATTCTACCGGCGGGGGAGGAAGGGAGACACAGGCAGGTTTGAGAATCCCTTATTAAAACCGAGGGGGAGGGATCCACGGGGACACCAACGGGGATGGCACAGAGAGAAGTCGCTTTATCCTCCGCTTTATTTACGAACTCCTGCGACACTGTTGATCGCGGCGCGAAATCGGTCGCGATTCGAAACCCGCCACTTCGGCATCGCACACGTTTTCACCGTCGAACGACGCGGGGATGACGATCGGGGGTGGAACAATGCTCGGGAACTGTGCGGCGGCGACGGAGAGAACGGTGAGACGGGAGATAAGAGGCGGAGAGATGCGGAGAGAAATAGATAGATAAAGAGAGAGAGAGAGAGAGAAAGAAAGAGAGAGAGAAAGAGAGAACGAGGAGACGTACGGCGACGATTCCAGAATTAATCCGAACAGCTCGCGACACTGACGGTTCGAGGTCGTCACGACGACTGGCGGATCCGTCGGCAGAGTGCGACACGACAGCCCTCGGCCGGGTTCGCGCGTGCGCGATTACACCGCCAGGCCCAACCCTGTTTCTCCCTGAAAGCCACCCTTAAAGTTACACCACGGTTTTTCGCCGTCGTTCCTCTCTCCGAGTCCACCGAATATATATATTTTCTCGTTTCGCTCGGCCATCTCGCAGAATGCCGGCACGATCGTTGTTCGGTCATTCGGTTACGAGTGACAACACGGGGACCGACCGCGGGGCGGATGGACCCGGAAAAATCTGAGGAATTAATAATTCGCCGCGGGTACGCCATGTTCGCGGTGCACGCGGGGATCGAAAGAGGAACGATGACACAGACGTGTTCCGATTGTTTTAACGAATAAACGACGGATATTTTGATGACCGCCATGGAGGCGCGGCGGTTACGTTTACCGCATACTTGGACGAGTAAGTTGTTTCGTTGCGTCGATTATGTATTTCGAATGATTTTTTCTTTTTTTTTTTTGTTATTTGACCTCGATTCGGCGTACGAATTTATCGTAATTCGTTCGACGATGCTTTATGGCTTCGCGAGAACGTCGCGTCCGGTTTGGAATAGTCGTAACAAAGGGGTGAATGATAAAAGTGGAGAGGGGTGAGATGGGAATTGCGAAAGTGAGCATTAATTAGCTATTGGCTCCCTCTGTGTAGATTCTCGTCGGATTAAGATTAAAGGAATTCTGGTACTGCAGTTTTAAATGAATGAAACACTCGGGGAACAGGAAGATGTCCTTTGAGTACGTTTTATGTATGTATAATTACGATATATAATACGATACTTCACGTTCGTTTGTTAATACATCGTAGAAGAGCTATTTTCTAGAAATACAAATTGGAGAGATGTTTGGCGGATCGCCAGATGCAACAAGTGCGTAAAAATCGATGATTTTTATAACATAGTTCGTTCCGCGATTCTGATAGACACAACCGTTTTAATACTTCTAATAATAGGATGACAAAACAACCCTTGAACGACTCTTCCCTACTACGCCGCTGTGTAGGAGATTATCTTTTAATGACCACGCTCAAAGGATGCAGTAAAGCGACTGCGGATAAAATGAAATGACAATTAACAGACCGCAGATATTATGAGTTAACGACTAGATGAAACGCGAAACAGTGAAAATATTTCAAGAGCTCCGAAATCCTCTTCCATTAATCTCAACTAATTAAAATCGCCGAGGAATCAAATAAATAATTTCCACACTTTGCAATCGGAGAAGGCAATTTTTATTTCGCGTAAAAGCTCGCACAGCCCGGCGATCACAGCTCGCATTTCACATTTTCCAATTAAGAGAACTCGAGGACAACGTCGACGTTTCAAACGACCGGGGAATTCTTACACCTCGCGGAACGAATTTTCACATTTTGGGTAAAATTTAGGAATTCGGTTCAACGCGCGCCGCATTTCATTAGCATTATTTCCCCGGTGCTTTTTAACTCCGCGAATTTCGAATTCGTCCGCGTGAAGAACTGATCAAAATGTCAGCCGTTTGTTACGTGCACAGGGAAAATCGACTGAAATGTCACAACGATCTAATTATTGAGGGAACTTCAATGGGCGGTGGGTACGCGAAACGCGCACAATGCTGTTTGTTTGTCAGTCGATCCCTCCGAGCCTCTTGGGGACAATAGACTTCGAAATGTCAGAACATCGCGGCAGAACGCTCGCCGTTCGGTAAATTCGCGTGCAATACTTCGCGGATAGGAAAAATCTACGATCGTAGCAACCTGCGAATATCGTGGAGGCTTCGCGAATTTCACGATTATTCCGCGCGCAAAGGGTGGACGATTTCGATTCTCCAACGAAAAGCTGCGGTTAGTCGGCTCGGAAGGGATTAATTGTAGGTTCGTTCGATTGTAATCTGGAACAACGCAACGTTCCAGCGGAATTCTAAAGGATATAATTTTCGAACAACCGATACGGAAACTCTTGTTTAGGAATTGTTTAAACATATGAAACTCGCAACGAGATTCTATTGACAAAGAGGAATTTCATACGTTGGCGAGGGTTGGCGAACGAAACTCCTCTAACAAAGGACCCGCGCAATCCCTAAACAGCCCTAAAATAGCTATTTCTATTCCCGACAGTTTTCGACCCGGTCGTTCTAAGCCCGCTTTCAAAGTGAAAAATCTCCATGCGTCGAGATATTACGGCCGTAATACGAGCGCACCGCCGTATTTTAATACGAGATTCATGAATGTACATACATACCATCGTTCGCGGCCAAAGAGAAAGCACGAAATTCAGTGTTCCAGCTTTCCGCGGGGGCTTCAATTACGATGCTGTCCACTTTAACATAAATTCTCTACACCCTTTTCATACTCGCGATGGTACCGGTGTCAAGTAATTTACAGTTGCGTATATCGGGGCCCCCGGCATTCATTCGTAGAGCCACGGTACATTGCGATGCAATAACAGAAGGGTCCTCCATCGTGGCAAGCAAACGCGACCTGATTACTCGATGAATAGAATTTCAGATACGGCCGATAGCTCGTAGGAGCACAATAATTTGTATCTCACGATGATACAATAACCGCGCGAGCGTACACATGTATAGCATCTATTTAAATTCCAATTTCGCCCATGGACAAACGACCATATATATATATATTCGCTTAAAATATGATTTTTCATGAAAATCCTCGAATTTTTACCGTGGAAAATATGCACGAATGAAGGATCAAGATTGACGTAGAAAAAAGAAAAGAAGCACTTTATTCGTCCAAAGATGTCTCCTTCAGTTGAAGTTTCGGGAAGTTTACCCTTTGTTCGATCCACTTCGCAACTTTAAGGAGTCTCTCCTCGTGGAAAGAGGGAGCCATAAGCTGCAGGGACAAAGGTAGACCACTTTTCGAAAGTTTAATTGGCACATTGACCGCCGGTATTCCCGCCATATTAGCGGGCTGGGTACAATAATCTTGAATCAAACATTGGGTCTGATTATCCAATGAAATAAACTCGTCGTAATTCGGTGCCTCTGTTAGTGTGGTGGGGGTGAGTAGAAGGTCCACATTGTTGTTCCACGCTGCGTCGAAATCGTTGGCGATCAGTCGTCTCATCTTCATCGCTTTCACGTAATACTCGTCGTAGTTTTGTTCCAACAGAAAGTAATTTCCCACCAGGATACGCTCCTTCACCACGTCGCCGAAACCCTCGGTCCTCGTTCTTGCGTAAGAAGCGTTAACGGAATTCCATTCGTCCGCTCTGTAGCCGTACTCCATGCCGTCGTAACAAGATAAATTGCTGGCGACGTCGCAACGATTCAACACTGAATAACAGGCTATAGAGTAGCTTGTATGCGGCATTGACACCACAGAAACAGATGCTCCGGCTTCTTTCAAGTACTGAGCAACTTCGTCCCAGCATTCTTGAACGTCGGGGCTTATGTGCCTGACCTTGTATTCCTTTGGTATTCCGATTCTGAGGTTGCCGATGTCTATCGAGTCCGGTAGATCAATGGGTACGTATTCTTTTTGACTGCAGGTCGAATCTGCCCGGTCTGGACCAGCTATAGCATTTAGAACCAGTACTGCGTCGTCGACTTTTCTAGCTAGAATACCGGGCACATCCATGGAATTTACGAGGGGGATAAGTCCGTATCGAGACAGCAAACCGTAAGTGGATTTCAGTCCGATGATACCACAATAAGACGCTGGATTTCTAGTTGAACCGCCGGTGTCTGAACCTAATGCTGCGTAACAACTTCCAGTGGTAACAGCCACGGCAGAGCCACCGCTACTTCCACCTATAATTTGTACAATGTTTAGAAGGAACAGGGAAAGAAAGTCGATCAATTATACCTGCTATATGCCACGAGTTCTGATCAGTAGTATGCTCTGTGTTCTTTTCTTTAGGAACGCTGTTACAGTAATATCTTGTTAATACATCTGAATTCCATAAGTTTCTAGTTGCCCCATAATATGAATCGATGGTTCCCGAACCCATAGCAAATTCATCCAGATTAGTCTTGCCAATCAGAACTGCTCCAGAGTCTTTCAAACGTTGGTACACGGTCGCATTGTATACAGGTACAAAATTTGAAAGCATCTTCGAGGCACATGTTGTCAGGTGACCGTTCGTGCAGTAGTTATCTTTGACTGCGATAGGAATTCCATCGAGCTTGCCCAATAGCACGTTGTATTTCTGCCTAGCATCCGATTCTTCTGCTTCCTTCTTCGCTGTTTCATGAGTGAGAGTGATATAAGCGTTTAACGGTTTAATAAGTTCTGTCAGCTTGACAGTGGCTTTTGTAATGTCGGACGGACGCAGGTCACCGACACTTATTTTCTGACTGACCTCTTTTATTGGAGCAGAGAGTAATTTATTCATTTTTCTATCGACACCGCTAAAACTCCTTTCCTAACCTCTAACGAGAAATATAACCTCAAATGGTATTTGGATGAAATATTGAATAAAAAATCAAACTGTCGAGCAATAACATTTATTTTCCTAACGTATTATCTAATAGGCTAATTATTTATTGAATATAACATAGTTGTTACTTTTGAATAAATGATTCTTACGTAAACAAAACGGAGCGATAACGTGTACACTGTACTTTCAAACATGGATAATCATTCGCACGATTCTCGATTCTCCGTTGCGAGATGGTGCAACTATGCAGTTCCATAGCTAACTTACTATTCCGTTTACGTCTCGTGGTATTAAATGGTTTCCGGTGAATTATATTCAAATTCGCCGCCAGAGGTCTCCTAGTACCGGATCGAGGATTGGTATTGATAGGTGTCTATGTTTGTACACTGTGACTTGTGATGTCACTGGCATGGTTTCGCGTTGCATCGAAGAGGCGTTTCGAAAGAGTGAGTCATTTTAGATTTTGATAACTGTACAAAACAATTGTGACCCGATAAACAATCGACAAAAACCGTCTTGAACAAAGAAGGGTCGGCGGTCAGTAGTATTCTGCGGACTTGAATAAGTTTCATTAACTTAAAAAATGCCAGACACATCGAGTATATCGCAGTTCCCGTTGAAGGTAAATATTATCAAAAATTCTTTTATCGTATTTTTCCAATTCTGTCACACGATATTTTCCGCTGAACGAAAATGATTTTCATCGCAATATTAAACGCTGTTCGTTGCATGTTAACCATTCTTTATCCTCTTTATTTAATATTCTCGCCGCTTTCCCCCTGCACTTCCACTCGCAGGTATTTGAATGAGATCAATTCTTAGAACAGATGTTCCTATAATCCCCCTTAATTATATTTCGAGCCAAATTTCATTTGATGTTTTCTGCGTTGTGTTCAATTTATGTTTGAAACGAAATACACTTATATAAGGGTGGATGGCAATGAAACAATACCTTAACTTGTTTGACGAGCTTCTCATATTATTGCGGCGGTTCGCGTAATACGAACCGGAATTTTCACGAAACCGGACTACCACATACCGTCCCGTTACCATTTTAAAAACCATTTTTTACGATCCCATCGGATTGTTTCAGGTGATATTTGCAATACATTTAGTGCTAGTAACATGGTAAGAATGAGTTTTATATCTTAATGAAAATCAATAACAAAATACTTCATAACAAATTTATAATCTAGATTACAAACTCTCTGTTAAATAGTTGTAAACAAATGATTTTTAGGACTGTTCAGGGGTTCTGGTGTCCAAAATCAGTAATGTTTTACAATTTGCTCTTCTTTGTTTGTATATTATGGGCTATACATCATATCGAATCAGATGAACCAGTGCAATTTGTAAGCTAGTAAACATTATAGTTTCATATATATATAGATATACTGTTTTATCTGTGCGCGCATAATAGAATTGATTGTTTTAGGCGCTATTGATAAATGTACTTTCCATATTTCTTGATGTAATAACGTTAGCAATTTATTTTCCAACAACATGTAAGTTAGAGCCACTTTCTAATGGATTTATGACTAACATATACCGTATGGTATTATATCATTTTGATTAACCCTCCCCATATAGAAGATGTATCTGTCTGATAGCACAAAGTTCTAGATGCAGCTGAGAAGTTTAGCGCAGCAATTATGATCATAAATCTAATTGCGCGTGTTATCACGAGCATATCACTACTGAGAATAGGCCAAGCAAGAGGTGGATGTTTAGCGACAATGTTTTCGCAGGGTCCGGCAATGGGTCAGTAATACATTGGACAAACAGATCTGTGTTTAGTAGGCCTGCATTGCTTCTTCATACTTTCGCTTTAAGTAGGTGCATGAGATGTTTTTAAATATTTGTAAAATATATGTTACTTTATTTTAAGCTACTCGCTTCTACAATTATTGTCTTTACATTGTCTCGTTGTTAGCTGTCACAGCTGTATAAGCGATGCTAGTTCTGTGATGTGAGCGTCATAGTATTGTCTTGTACAAATGATTTAAACAACAAAGGTACAGGTCTATAACATTTATTTTATTTCAGGTCTAGGACGGCAGGAATACGAGGACATATCTCACTCGATCCCCCAGAATTCTGACTTCACCAGAGTTTAATGACATGACGAAATGAAATTACAAACAAATTGATATCGGAAACGATATCAACCTCTCTGTTACATCTGTGTTAGCAATAAGTAAGCACGCGTAATTGGGCGATACTCAGATCTATTTTTTACGAGAAATACTTCATAAAATACGACTGAAATGCAAACCGAAAAGAGACGAATCTGTCGTCCCTTTTCGGTATCGTAAACATATATCGAACACATCGACACGTGACGCGCCCACACCAATCATCGCTATCGGCTTGTACACTAACAATGACAGGAGATTGTAACATAATGCTACACGAACAATTACGTTATTGTATCACACTAATAAATTTTATCTTAGTTGTATATTTTGTACGTTAAATTAACAAGGATATATTATCTATTGTTGTTTGTATTTATAAATTGTGAATAAAACTGCTCACCACAACTGCACAGATTCACAATCGTTGCCGAGCTCTATATTCTGTATATTATGTACAACGTCGAGTCACGTAAATCTGCGTAGAAAAATCCCTCAGCCATTTTCTCCCACTTTCGTTTTACGCCTTTAAAGGTGGTCGAATGAATTTCGATCCCGGAACTAACCGAATAAAATATTAAATTCCCAATTACATCGATCGTCCGATCCGACCAAATCTCAATTTATTTATGCACGACGTGTACTCAGGATTACCGAAATCGAAGGTAGCTCTTTCAAACTCCCGTATTGCAGGTTACTCGGACAGGAGCCGAGGGATTTGAATTTGGTGGACACGCCAGGGGTGGCGCGAGCGACAGAGGCTAGGTGGCGGCACCGATGCTCTATAAGAGGCGCGTCGGTGAGGCGGCTTGGTTCAGTAGTGTGCGTGACCGTTCCGGGAGGAGGGTGGCTCCGCGCGCGGCCGCACCGCGAAACCGTGCCCACTCGCCTCAACCACGGACGTCCACTCGTTTTCTCGTCTCGTGAAAACATGGCGGCCAGCGACGACGAGCCGATGCATCTCTACGAGGTCTTTCAGAACTGCTTCAATAAGATCGCCAACAAGCAGCCCGGTGAGTGTCGTCAGCCACGAAACAGTCCCTTTCCCGAGCCACGGCCACCGGAATCCCAGTGCTGTGCGTGCGCACCGTGTGTGAGAAATAACACGGCCAGCCTCTTGTGTGTCTCTTGTGATCACTCGGCTGCGATCGAGCATCGCGGGCTTAAATATCAGCGAGGCGTCGCTCTGGTGTTGCTACCTTGTTCGACGGACATCTCCCGCGAGGGTGAACGAAACGTCCGGGTGTAGTGGTGCGGTCGATCGAGCCCTCGATCGTCTCGAGGATCGCGCCGGAACGGATCTCCTCCGACCGACTCCGCTCCGTTCTGTGTTTTGGTTTGCTTGTCAGTGCTTTGGACAGTGCTGCCCCGTCGTAGTGAAACTTAACCCCCGGGGTAGATCCGTTTTCCTCCTTGTGTTAACCCGGTTGTACGTTCGCGTCGCGTTTCGTCCACTGAAGAATTCCTCGTTCGGTGCGGCACCGTAGTCGCGGAGCCGAGAGGAAAAATGTAATCATAACCTAACCTGTGTGTACTACCCCGCGGTACACACCGATCCCGCACACGCACACCAGAGCGACACGCTATTCTCTTCTCGGCACACGGGGTGCTGTCATGTGCAACAGCGTCGTTGTTGTGACATGGGCCGCGATGCCGTGACGGCTGTTCGCCCGAGAAAAAGGCATTTCAAGGTTACTATATAGGTCCTTCGCGAATACGTTACGCGTGTGTGTACCCGGGCTGCCTTCCGTTTCATGAATGCCAGCCGGATCAAGAGAGAGAGACCCGAGTTAGTTGAAAGTTTGCCCACGGACTGGGCGTGCTCCGCGGTCGCTCCTCTCGTCGTACCACGTGTCTCCGGCGTCGCCGCTGGAAGAAAGAGCGGAATCGTTAGAGGTTAATCGTTCGAACGTAATGCCGCGGGACCATAAATCCGAGTCCTTTTTCTCGGCGGACCGGCCCCGGGTGATCTCGTGGGGAAGGGACTACGGTGCGTCTCTCTTTTTTTTTTCCTTTCTTTGTTTTTCTTCTTTTCCATACACCTGCCTGTGATGCCGGGCGAGAGAGACCAAAGCTGTTCGATAGGGACAAAGAGAGAGACGGAGCGAAACGGCTCTCCACGATGCGCCGTAACCGCTGCGTGTTGTAAACAGAACTGGCTACGCTTTCCAGCAGAAATACATTCGAATATCAGATGCGGCAATACATGTTTTAACATTTATAACAGTGTGTAAAATATCCCGATTCGGAAACGCGTTAATATAACAGCGATACAAACCGGCGTATGTTGTATAAATATTTTGTAAATTCCATGCGTGTTTTCATATGAAATACACTATTTACTGTTGAAAATAGTATTCGATTCAGTACCAAAAAGTGGTTCTCATTCTTCTCGATACATGTCAGTTCAGGCACGTGTCCGCTACTCTCTTTCTCTCTCTCTCTCTCTCTCTTTCTTCTCTCTCTCCCTCTCTCTCTCTCTCTCTCTCTCGCTCCACAAGATTATCGATGCCCGTACACGCGTTTACTACCGTCGAAATGTTTCTTATCTGTTTGAAAAAAAAGAACCAATCTTATCTGACCGACATTGTTCAGCTTTGATTTGTCGTCGATAACGATAAAGAACATGGCAGCGGGCTTGCGAGACCATTCGAAATGCTTACGGTATAATAACCGGGCTCCCTCGAAGGGAGGATACATAGTCGAATGGTTCGCGCGACGATCACGATCCCGAGATCGTAGTTAGTCAACGTAGTGGCTGTTTGTTTAGCTTGGGAGCATGTTGTTTGGGAAACGGCAGGGGTGCTCAACTCGAGCCGGCCGCCATCTTAGCGAGCTTCGAATTTTCGCGGGGCCTCGTCCGTCGGACCTCGGTTTTAAATTCTACGCGCGGGAAATTCAAACGGCGCTCGAACCCGAAAAAGTTTGTTTCCATTGCGACACGTGCGATGGTCCGTGCAAAATTATTTTCATCGACCTAACAGCGTTCTTCGTTAGCAAAGTTTGAAGTTCTTTTTACGTGAAATATTGTCTTAATGTCCTTAATGTCTTTTATGTGAAATTTGTCTCTTTTAGAGAATTATTTTATTCAGTTGTACAATTTAGCAGCGCAATTCGAATTTCGCTGCGTCGTTTGAAACATTGTAACCGCGTTACAATTAAACAGTGGAAGAAGAATTAAACAATTAACCCCTTAATGCACAGTTTTTTTTAAAAAGGCCGGCCAAAAAAAAATCGATTTTTTTAAATGTAAAAAAACACAATTTGGAATGTTGTCTTGGCAAGAAAATTACAAAAATACAAAAATTTTTATTGCAATTCTAATTTTCAGAATATTACTATTATTATTGTTATTATTATTGTTATTATTGTTATTATTATTATTATATTTTATTTTACATTATATTTTAGTAAAATATATATTGAAAAATGAGCGAATCAGAATCTGAATATGAATACGCTGTCGGAAAGCGATTCACAAGGAAGAGATAAGTCGTAAGTGATAAGTAGAAAAAGGATATATTTTACACTTGAAAATATTGTTATAGCTTACAATCCCATGTAAATGATAAATATCAATAAAACGATTGTTCTTTTTTTTGCTTTCACATTGTTATTTTCAATTCTCAATTGCATTCGAGGGTGAAAAATTATAGCAACATAAAGTACAACGCCGCTCAAATTATCTCGAGTGTGCACAGTTTGGCCAGTTTAGCGCGCTCGAATTAACTCGAGCGTGGGGGTTAAGGGGTTAATACAGTAGAGGGTGAAAAATTGGTTGTTCCAAAAAAAAGAAAAAACAAGAAAAAATAGTCGAGCCATTTAGTTGCGTTAGGAACGAATTTGTTAACGGCGTTCGGCGCAAACGGTATTCCGATTAGTTCCGGGAAATTATAAGACCGTTACGGTTCGACTAAATTGTACGGCATGATAAACCGTGTCGTAAATTAACAACGGAAGTGGGACTTCCACGTGCGAATTGTTTGATAGATTAATTGCACGGGAACGAGCCGCAATTTTATTATACGATGCACGCGCGCCGTGCTCGTGTTTAATCGGAGATTAGATACATATACAATATACACATGCACGCGCGAATTCGTGTCGGGTTTTATTAACGCGGTGTTTTCGTGCGTCGGATCACACAACGGCGATTTCGAAAATATATACAGCCCGCTTGTTTTTCGGATCGATTTCTCGTCTTACTCATTTATATTCCCGATGTTTGAGCGCGGGCCGCGCCGGTGTCGGGTTCGTTAAGCGTCAATTGTTCTGGCGTGCCGGTCGTCAATTGCCAACAATCCGGTTAATTCTTCGCTCCGTTTTGCCCGGTTAATTTCCAACGATTGCTAGTTCGAGTGGAAACATTGTGTACGATACTGGGTGTCCCGTAAACCGACGGCCGAAGGAAAACTTATGATTTATTCATGAGAGACCCGCTGGTGGTGGGGGGAGGTGGGGAGGAACTCGTTTATTCATTTACTCTCCAATCAAACTTCACGCGGCGAAATCGTCGCGTTTTATTATGTGGTTACCACGCGGCGACGCGTTCGACGAGAAAAAAAAAATCCTCCGAAGATTTAGCGCAGGTAACAAAGTCGTATTAAAAAGCAAACACGTTAAGCGATAGAACATACCTAATAACGGTGTATGCATGTATGTATGTATTTGTTCGCTACGTCGATATCTCTTCCCGTACGCAACCGAAGCACCTTAATTCTTATTGGCTCCCAGGCTTGCGTCGCGAGCTCATCATTCTGTTTGGCTTGCGCGAACATAAGCCTTGTTCGCGGCTTCTAATTTATTGCCCTCCCTTAGCGCGAGAAGGCTGAATCCGATTTTTGCTCGCGCACTCGTTCCTTTCACGAAAGAAGCTTGATCTTCGCCTTGAAAACCCGGCGCAAAGTGACAGCAATATATCAATCAAAGAGTTACAAAGTTGCAGAGAAAGTGTGTTCGTCTCGTTGAATGGGAATCCAGCGGCTCTATGTATTTCTGTTCGCCTCGATTTATCAGCGCGGGCGCGAGCTTTGCTACGCTAACATTTTCAGTTACGTGGAAGGGTTAACGATCAGACGATCGAACAAGTTCGAAAGGGTCAGGGCTCGGTCCAAGTGCAAGGGTATCTAAAAATACGATCGAATCACGGCCGCGGCCGCTCCAGAAATATTTTCTTCTCATCAGGAGCGATCCGCGCTCGCGGCTTCGGCGTCCTCCTCCTCTTCCTCTTCCTCCTCTTCCCTGTATCGGCCGTTTCCTCTCGATCGAGACTTTCGATTCCGTTCGGGGGGCTAAACGATCGAGAGAGCCGCTTGTATAACGCGGCGAAAACAGGAGCCGCGGATCCCGACGTCCGATCCGATCTAAAATTATCAGCTGGCTGACTCACCAGTAAATCTACCTGAAGCGGAGTTTGT